AGCACCCTAGACAGACGTCAGTTGTGTTCGATATGCCCAACGAAAAAGTTAGAAGCCCAGAGAGCGCGTAAACGAGAGTGGTACCTGAGAAACAAGGACGAGGTGTCGAGGCGTAAACGTGAACGGCGGGCCGCCCTGAGGAAGTCCAAACCACCACCCCAACCCAAACCAGCCCCGACGCCAGAACAGAAAGCCAGAACCCGAGAGCTGAACCGGCAAGCCTGCAACCGTTACCGAGCCACCCATTTGGTCCAAGTGCGATTGATCAACCGTGATTATTACCATCGAAACTGGGACAGGATTGTCCATCAGCAGCGGGAGCGGCGAGCCTTGGCCAAGCAGAGCAAGCCGAACCCGTTCCGAAAATTGAGAGCGTTGGTGGACGCGTGTTCGGCCCGCTTGATCGAACTGGACCATGGATACGCCAGGGCAGAGCAAGAAAAAGCGGAACTCCCAAAAGAATAGGGTGAGCAGACGTCGGTATCGAGGGAGATAGAAAGCGGCCTTTGACGGTATCGAGGAGGTGAGGGCCCGTAATCGTCAACGGTACTACGTGCGAATGGACCGTCTCAGGGCCACGGGAGACTACGAGGCCTTTAAGACCAAAAAGTCCAAAGAGGGCATGCGGCGCTACCACGCCATGTCAGAGGAGCAGCGCAATGAGGTCAAGCGCAAAAACCTCATTCTGCAGAAGGCCTGGCGGAACAAAATGATCCAGGAGGGCACCTACGAAGCCTACCGACAACGGTTGAATGCGCGGCGGCGAAAAAGCGAGCCTTGGGCGTGGAGGGGTGGAAGGCGTTGCAGAAGGAGAAATATGCTGGGCGAGCCGCATCCCAATACCGTCAACGGTGGCAATGGTTGGACGAGCATCTGGCCCGTCCCTTTCCTTTACCGTGGTTGCCACTGGACTGGGCAGAGTCTGAGCCGGAGGAGGAGGACACGGTGCAAACCATTCGTGGCAATGCGTTAGAGCAAGTGGACCAGTACTTGTAAATGAAAACAAACCATTAAACCTGTGTACATAACAACGTGTCTTTTTTGTTTGAAACTTACATGCCCAACTTGAGTTTAGCTTTCATGATATATCTAACAATACGTTCCATCAGGGTCTTACGACCGGGGAGTTGATCAATCTTGGCAATCATCTTGCGATCGCCTACCCATTTGTCTTGCAAGTTCCTGGCCTTGTCATATTCCATGTCATGGGCTTTGGCAATCCTGTCTAACCGGTTGATGCCTGGATCACCTCGGGCCAATCGATTTTTCACATGGGTCCCAGGTCCCATGTACTGATAGTCGGGCCAATGAAATTCCATCCCTGTCTTGTTCAACAGCTTTTGCACATCAAATAACTTGCCCTCGCGTTGCGACCGTCGTCTTCTTGCCGGGATTGGGGCGCCGCACGCCGTCTCTGGGTCCATCCCATCACGGGGTTTTCCACGTTTTCCACTCCAAGGCTTTCTTGGCCAGACTTTTGCCTTTCTTTTTGGCGACAGTGCGGCTTTCTTTCTGATTTTACGTTTGACAGCTAAAGTGGGGGTATCCCAAGGTTTCGGTGCAATATCCTCTGAAAAAGGCAACTCTTGAGCCAACTCTTCGGTGCTCACCTGGGGCGTGAACTTGAGTTTCTTTTTTACACTGGGGGTGAGGCTGACGGGTGGTTTTCTGCCTGGGCTGGAGGGTCCCCCAGGCGAGGCACTTTGTTTTATACCCTGGGCCGTCTTCAGCAATTGCGTCAACCAAGCTTGCACGGGCCCAGCATCAAAGTCGTTCTCGCCGGGGGACTTGGCAGGGGCGCCCGTGGCGCGCACGCCACTGACCAGGGCACCAAACGGTTGGCGTTCTTTTTTGGTCCAATGGCGTGATTGACGCCCAAGGGTTTTGAGTTGAGGTCGTTTCCATGCATCGGGGGCATCACTGGCCAAGAGCACATGTTGTTTGGCGGCCAAATCCGCGGATTTGGTCAAGGTCAAGCGGGTATCTTCTACCCCATCTTGTTTGTACTTGTCTCGTAATTGTAAAAAGGCGGGGGCATTGTCCACAGGGGTGCTCACCATCTCTTGCTCCATGGTGCAACTGAGGCTCCTTGTCTAACGCATGCAACGTTTATAACATCGATAGAGTTCAGGCCAGAGGGTTCCACCTGTTTGAGCCATCATGATGGCGCGTCATCGTTTGACGGAATGGGCGGGTTTGGTCATGGCGTGTAAACTCTGAGCGTTGGGTTTGAGCAACGTAATTGTGTGTCGAGAACGGAGCACGGTGCTACGGAGGGTGTTCATGACCAATTCACTGATGGCATTGATCTGATCCGCATTGGCCATCCGTAACAATTCTTGTCGTCTATGTTGAGTCGCTTCTTGTAAGACGCTTTTCAAGAACGGGGCTTGACGTTCCATGCGCCACTCCATGATGGATCTTGAGTTCAAGCAACGACCAAGGTCTGTTTATGGTAAAACTCGCCCCACAACTGCCACACAGTTCGCCATGATAATGCTTTTGTATTTGATCTCGACACCGTTCACACAGGACCGCTTCAACCTGTTCGTCCCAGTCCAAAGCAAAGGTGACGGCTTTTCTTTTCTTGGGATAGGTCACGTTAACGTCGGCGAGCCCGCCGTTGGCATTTCTTGACCGCCCAAGGCGAGAGAGCCATCGCCAAAAGGGGTAGCACGCCTCCACGTTGCAATCCATGTCGCCGGCGTCGTATTCGGGGGACATAACGATGTCAGCGTCCATTGGGTCCACTGACCATCATCAAATTGAGTCTTGTTCCAAACGAGGCGTTTTCTTTTATAAGTTCCTCAGAGACGCAAACCCAGGCCAACCCGTTCGACCTAACATCCGCTGAACGCGTCATTTATTGGTCGCCATTTGCGCTGCACTGATTATGCCCACCCGTTTCTTCCGCGTCGCCGCTTCGAGGGCTTTTTTCGTGCCGTAGCCCGCTGCACCGCTGACGGCCCCAGCGGCCGCCGCCTTGACGAGAGCGATGGCAGCGGGGATGAGGAACGCCGGGAGAATACCCCCTCGTTGCTTTCGGCGTCGCTTTCGTCGTTGGCCACAGTTCATGATGTCTTGTCTCACTGACCCTAGGGACAGTGCCTTGGTTTTCTTTTATATCCTTGCTCTAGCCCGTCCACGCGTCATCATCGTCATCGTAATCCAACGGGGGAGGGGAAGAATCGGGGGAGGGGGGAGAGGGCACCCGGGGACGTCGTTGCGGTTGTTTGGCGGCGATTCTGGGACGTCCACTGGGGGTCGTCACCGTCGAGGTGGTGGTGGTGGTCTCTGCGCCTGCACGTCGACGAGCGGTGAGGGGGCGCATTGGGGCGGTGGTTACAGGGCGTGTTCTGATGGACGTGACGGGTGGCGGTCGGCTGGTGGTGGTGGTGACAGGGCGTGTTCGGGTGGACGTGACGGGTCGTGTTTGGGTGGCGGTGGTGAAAGGTTGTATACTGGTGGCCGGGGCGGTGCCGGTGCCTGCCACAGGCGGTAGACTGAAGAGATTCACCGCATCATCCACATTGACTAGGTAGGAAAGGTTAAAATCCTCAATCTCTTGATCCAATTGGGCTCGATCGACCGGTCTGGTCAATTCGGTCACCATGTCTGTAAATGACATCACAGCAAGCTTTATTGATTTAGTGATATGATATCTCTCGCCTTAAGCTTTTCTGATTCGCTAGTTTCATTTCCTTAGACAACGCCTATTTTTACGTAGAAAACGCACGGTCTCTTAAGTTTAGCTTTAGTTGGATTTCGTCGTCTTCATGTGTACATCGTTGTAGTCTATTTTGATAGTTCATTTCGTGGTACTTAGAGGCAAGCGGGAACCGACATGTAAGTACATTTTATCTTCTGTAGTTTTGTCTATCTGGCGACTCATAAAGTATATTCCTGCAAGAAGTTATTGTAATACTCAGTATCTCGTACCATTACGTGACTACGCCTTTTTGAGTCTCAAGTAGGGTTTTACTTTTTAGTTTGGCGTGGGAAACTAATTTCTTTTAGTTTATTTAGTTTTCGCGCCTTTGCAGACGTAGTCCGTTCTTAGATTTATTTTGTTAGTTTCTTAGTATAGTATTATTCGCAGGATAAAATCACCATCAAGGTCGTGGTACAATACGTTTCACCCAGGGTGTCCATGTACGCTTTGAGGGACACCGAGTCTTCGTCTTGAGCCATTTGTCGGCCCAACGTCCAATGATACCCATCCCAAGCATCCATGCCTCGGACGGTTTGGACCCGTTCGATCGGATGCAACCACCAATACAGGGTTTCTTCTAAGATAAATGCATCCATCACGCGCTGAACATCGCCACGTGTAATCATGATGCGCCAAATGACTCCCCCTGCGACGCGACGCGTCTTTTTTAATGCATCCACCACACACACATACGCACACACACACCCACACACACACACACCCACACACCATGGTTGAAAAGGCCTGGCGTCTCACATTCTTTTGCCCATCTGGTCGGGCATCCACCTCATCTTGTAATTCGCGTTTAATCACCCGTTTCAAATCTTCGGCCATTTTATGATCATTCAACACTAAATTGTCGCTACTCCAACGTCCTAAAAAGGCCCGGATAGGTCTGTCCTTGCGCTCTGGCTTTCAGGAAAAATAGCCCATTATGTAGACAGGTCTGACTATCCATGCCTTGCAGGGTGATGTCACTACGGGTCATTGACTCCACCACTGGTGCAACTCCGGGTTGGTGTACACGTGCAGGGGGAGACAATAACTGTCAAAGATCTCGCACTTGTTTTGTTCAGTCCACAGCCTCAACCAATGTTGTCCGGGTTCCCCCGCTGGATCGGTGTTGGCGCGGACGGTCGTGGGAGGGTGATCGGGGTAACTGGTCGGCGGGGTACACGCCTTGAAACACGCGCCGTAATTGAGGATTGTCCAGGGCCAAGGCTCGCAACACGGTATCGCTGAGTGCCACAAACTCCATGGCCGGCGTCTTCTTACATCTGAGGCTTGATCAGCCGTTGGTGTTGTACTTTATACCTCCCAGATGATTGATCTCATACACGTTTTCATACTCGCTCCACACTAACACGGTGATGTTGTGACTGACAGCGGCTGCGAAATCAATCACCAGTCGCACATTGCCCGATTGAAGAAGGTTGCGATACTGGGGGTCATCGGTTTTGCCACTGGGCACATTGTTGAACAGGAACAACGTGCAGTTCTTCCCCTGTCCCCAATCACTAGGCAGCAGCATGGGAATCTTGTTTTCATTGTAGGCACCCATGGCCTGTAGAAACCGATCGTAACCCAGCAGATCTTCATAGGCTTCCGTTCCAGTCAGTTGTAGGGTTCCGTAACGATATTCTTCTTCATTCAAACTCTGTAGTACCTGAGTGACCCCAAACTTTTGAAAGCCATAGGGATTTCTGCCCGTGTCTCCATTGAAGGCATTTGAATGCAGCAAACCCACCATCGCTCGATCAGGAAATCGGCCCACAAACACGTTGTCTTGCTCCCACTGGGTGGTTCGGCGATCAAAAGAAAAGGTGCGGATTTCACTTCGAACCACAGGGTAGCGCACAATCGTTTTGCCCAGTTGTCTTTCTTTTTGCAGTCTGACATAGACACTAGCGTTCAAGGTCACTTTTCTCATCAGCAAGGTTACTTTGATGTCTTCATTGTGGATGCCAGGAAATTTCTTGTCGGTCAAAGTTTCTTTGTTGGGGGTGCCCATCAAGTAGACAGTGTTGGGGTTCAGGAACAGTTCAAAGTCCAACAGGACACCAGGAACCAATCATTTACCCGTCTTGAGGGGTGGCAAATGGAGGCAAATGATGAAGGTGTGCCAATTCTGGTCTAGCAACCGGCTGGTCAAGGCACGCAATTCTGTATTGCCACTCCAGTTTGCATTGGTGGGTGTATCGGAATTGGCACCTGTGGCTCCCATTTCTGCAATCACATTGAGTTGATTGACCCAGCCTTGCGGGACTAACTTGATGGCTCCTTCTTCTCGGCTGTAATTCAGGAGGGTTTCCAGGTAGGCTCTGTAATGGTAGGTATTGCTCTGTTCGGTCATGAGGACGCCATTCATGCTCAGGGTCATATCTCGAAAGATGGAGAGGGCAAAATTGTTAACGCAGTAGGTGTTTCTGGTATTTTTGGAATCGGAAATAGCTAAATTGGCTTTCAATCCTTGATACCCAGTCGCCGGATCGGTCAGGCGCACTTTGACTTGAAACCGGGGTTCGTTGAGATCGTAGTAATCGTCCGAGGCCGGGATGGAAAAGGTGATGGGTTGTATTCCCGTCAAGGCGGGTTGAAACACCACGTCCCTGGACGCTTCGTACCGGTAATCCACCTCAGGCACATCAAACAAATTGAGCGACATGATGCTGACTGTCCACGGCGTTTAACTGCGTGTCCTTTTTATAGCGTGTCGGGCCATGGTCCTCGCCCATTGTTCGGGGTTCACCTGGGACTCAGAGGGGTCCATCCACGATTTGCGCATTCGCATGCGTGTGGACTTGCCAAAAATCGTGCCCTCTTTCATATTGCGGCGTTGTTTCAAATGGGTCAGCATCCAGGGCTCCAACAGACGAGAGGACGTGTACATCTAGGGATAGCGCGCCATGGTGGACTTGCCAAAAATCGTTCCCCCTACTTGATACGGCGAGATGAACCGCCCTCGGGCGCGTTGCTGTCGAATGCGATTTTGCGTTTTGAGAAAGCCGACAATGCGTACCATGTTTTTTCACAGTCCAAAGATATACCGTACGCGTTGAGTGGCTCTTTTATAGGTGTTTTGGGCGGTGCGTTTGGCCTTGTTTTTTCCGGCCGTCCAGGCCAGGGCGGGGGCTTTGCGTTTCAACCCGCGGGTGATTTGCTCGCCTCGATTGGCCCAGGTGTAGGCCAAACTCTGTCCTCGTTGAATATCTTGAAGTCCCGCTTGGGCTTGCTGTACTATAGGGGACCGGCGAGTTTGATCAACTCTTCTGCCAACCTTTGCCTTCTTGAGTCGTGACCACGGGCGTGTGGTAGCGCGTTAAACTTCCTTCTCGCATCTCGGCTCACGTTGGTGTGTTCTCGACCCAGGGGTGCGGGGTGGTTTTTATAGCTATTTGAGGCCAATGGTCACGATGGTTTTGCCAGGGGGTAAGATGGCCAGGGGTCCACCGGGTGTGGCAATCTCCACTTCCACAATCTCCAATTGATTCCCTCGGACTTTGATCCATTGATGATGAAGGGGTTCCGCCGTACCTTCACCCTCGCCTGTTCTCAATAACTCTCTTCGCGCAAGAGGAGAAATTTGCCACTCCCCATCACGGTAGATTCCGCCACATCGGAATAGACCATGACGGTGCGTTTGCTCGTACCCAGCATTTTTTCAAAGGGGGCGTTGAGATTGTTAAACTGCCATTCCACCATCCTGGACAAATGAAGTTGGTTATTTTTCACTTCAAACACTTGATCCGTCACCTCCCTGTTCACATCGGTGGTTTGCATTCCCGAAAAATGCTCTCTAATCCAGTTCATGTTCGCGTCCATGTTGATGGACCCACGGGTTGTGTTTGGTTATCGTAGGGCACAGTGGGGAGGGTGAATTGCAGATTGGGTCCCAACTTGTACCCATTCACTCCTTGGGGACCCACCACAGAGCCCTGCCTTCCTTGGGGCGGTTCGATGAACCCAAACTTTTCAGCCACAGCCAGATTGATGGCAAACGTGATCAGGGCCTTGGTCTTGGTGAAGTTCAGCAACTCTCCTTCACGGACAGCATGCAAAATCAGAGCATCATCTTTCCAGGTCATGGTGGGCATCCAGTTCTTTTTCAAACTAACACGGGGTCGTTCATCCCGTTCATGCGTCCAGGTGTACTTTTGTACTACATGTCTTGCATGCTGCATGCTTTTGTTGTGCACTTCGTGCATCACTCGTTGCCAAAACAGGTTGCCAGACGTGACAGGTTGTTTGGCACTCATAATCTCTTCCAATTTCACATGGCACTCTTTGGTCTAGAAACTGACCCGTCGATACGCCCCAATTTTCGAGTCATGAACGTGATTTTGAATTGAATGACAATGGTATGAGGATCCGTCGCGATGACGCCATTGCTCTGTCCTTGATCCGGGACGGTCAGGGACAGTAACGTGGCATGCCAGCCCTCGCTTGGTAAGGTGAGACGTTCGGGCAGTCGTACCTTAAAACTGTTGTTGGCATTTTTGGGAAACTCGTTGGTCGTCTTCACCCTCAATGGTCCCTATCGATTGTCCCAAGAGCCACGGTTTTCGTACCCGATCGTCTTCTTGGAAGACAGGGCTTCAGGAAGTTAGCCAGTCTTTCCATAGCCACCGTCAATGTGATGGCCACCTACGATCATGGCCGTAATTGGTGCACGGATCATAGCCACGGGGAACGCGGTAGTGGGATCTGGCAGATCATTGTGAGCGCTTACGGGCCTGTCAAATGAGTGGCTGGTAGCGTCGGCGGCCCAACGCGTGCTGTGGCAAAAACAGTGTGATCGGCTTTTGGATCATATGTTATGCAACTATTGCAACGATGCCAAAGACGAGGCGTTTGCTCGAGGCCAAGGCCTGGATTGGATCCCTGATAATTGCTGTCAATGCCGACACGTCCGACGTATCTTTGAACAAACCGTCACCTACCGGGAATGGCAGGAACCCCTGATGTACGCGGATGATGAACCGCACACCATGTGGGCTTGGAATCCTTTGTCTCACCCTAAACACTGTTTTTGATTTTTTTTCACAGACAGTGCCGCTGACTATTTACACGGGAGGCGCTAAAGGCGTGGATACGCATGTGGAACGTTTATTTCACCTTTATGGTCATTCGTGTGTGGTCATCATCCCACCCTGTCACCCTTGAGCCAAGACCCTCGTGCCCTTGACCCAGCCCGACTTGGACGCTGCCACACCCACCGTCACCCAGGTGGCTTTTCGATTGGGTCGACATGTCTCCCATCTCATCACCCTTCAGTATTTACAGCGTAATTATTGATCAAGCCTGCTTCCTTGGTCTCAGCGTTGGGGTATTTTGATGAGTTACGCAAGCATCTCTTGGGCGGTACGGGATGGAGTGTGGCCATGGCTCAGATATTAGGCAAACCCCTCTATGTGTTTGATTTGGATATGGAACAGTGGAACTGAACTGAACTGAACTTGTTCTCATCAGCTCAAAATTTCGTTGCAGGCCTTCTCTAGAGTTTATCCAAGTGGTTGATGAGAAGATCCAACCCAAACCCTCCGCCCGACATCTGGGGGTGATTATAGATCAGTGTCTTGATTTAACCGACCATGTTCAAAAAATCTGCGTTTCCTGTCAGTATCATTTAAAGAACATTGCTAAGATCGGGAAGTGCGTAAGTGAAGATACCTCTCAAATTTTAGTACATGCGTTTATTAGCTCTAAACTCGAGAACTGTAACTCTTTGTTATATGGTCTTCCTAAACACGTGTTAAACAGGTTAAGACTGATACAAAACACTGCTGCACGGATAGTTACATTATCTAACCGGTTTGACCATATCACTCCTATCCTGTTCAAACTTCATTGGTAGCCGCTGGGTTATCGAATACATTTTCAAATTTTACTCTTAGTTTACCAATGTCTACATGGCTGGCACCAACTTACCTATCCGAACGTTTACGCTACACTAATGGTCCACGATTACTTGCTCCCTGAACTCAGGAGTGTTACATCTGTCGACCAGTTCAGGTCGCAGTTGAAGACACGCCTATTTAAATTAGCCTACGATGTTTGATTTTAGTAGCTTTATTTAATTATTATATTATCTTATAATAGTTTTTAACTCTAGTTTCTTACCTTATTATTGTACAGCGCTTTGAGCAATTAGTGGATATCGCGCTATATAAGTGTCTATTATTATTACTATTGGTGGAATCGCACCCTGCAACACTATCAACCCTGTGAAGGCATGACCGAGGAACAGATAGCCCTACCCACTTTACAGGACGTCGACAACACCGCCATTGTAGGCACCCGAGAAGAAGACAAGGCGGTCTATCCCACCTTGGACTCTTTATTCCAACGCTCATGAAAAAAAAACATTAGGACACTGGTATGACATGTAACACGTTTAATAGAAAATCTCAATGCACAGTCACAACAGCAATGTGTCTCATCGTTCCCAGGACCATCATGACTCTATTTAATCGTCCCATGACTTTGTCGATGGTATTATAGGCCTTTTTCTTTCTCCCAATCATCACCGGTCGCATTCCGATGGGGCACTCGGGCATTCTCACTTGAAAACGGTCAATCGTAAACGCAATGCCTTCATTCATGAGGTTGTCCAGGTTCGGGGGCTGACGAGCCATTTCCACCATCATACCAATCTGTAAAAATTAAAAAACGATCTAAGCGTATGGTTTAGCTATGAACACAACAAATTCCATCACCCCTCTCACTCACCGATAACTTGTGGTCGAATATTCGGTGGCAATGATGACAGTGGGTTGTTTTGGGAACATGAAAACGAACCACCACTTGGTTCCACCACTGATCCTGTCCGAGGTGTTGTGGGAGGCCTGTCACATCGCACTTGGGCAACCCTTTAAATTCTTGCAGCACCTTCTTCCGCTGGTCCACAGTCACAAAACACTCGACCCAAAACATAATCTTGACTTGTACCTCGAAGGGGAGCACCCTGCCAAACGGCTTGTCCTTGGGATCGACCAACCCTTGGTATTTCAT